TGCGTAATCTGTTTACGATCGCTGCGTCTACCAATAACGCAGTAGATGTTTGATTGGTATGAAGATGAAATCCAGAAAATGCTTTCTGTTCATCAATAACACACTGTGCCCACACAAAACCGCTTGCGCGCTGTCCGTCCTCGTAACTGACTTCCTTCTGACACAGGTAAATCGTAATGGAAGTCTACCCTGGGCACAGCTACACCTGCGCTGGAACCAAATACAATGGAATAAGGTTGTGTTTAGCAGACAGACAGACAGAGGGATTTCGGTCTCAGCGTACAGATAACACATATATAAACATACGTATAAAATATAACATAAATGTGAGCGACTCTTTAAAGGTCACATGCAACATAAAACACACCTTTGCAGATTCTAATACCTTTCGGTATGGACTTACAGTAACAAATTATCAAAAATGCAAATTCAACTTATAAAGGAAACCCGCGAAATCGGAATTCAAACGATTCACTAAATTCACCCCAGCTGGGGTGAAAAGTGGTTTCAACACTATATATTGGAAGTTTTCAATAATGTGATATTTTACGATCAGTGATAACAAGACAAAGTTGAATCAATCATAACCTAGGTTATGAAATGGTCGAAATTGAACCTGATATGAGGTTTCGAAATGTGTACTTCAAAACCTAGGTTTAGAAATGATCAGTGCAAAGTCACAGTAGAGGTCTACCTGATTCTGGAAGGAACCTACTTTACTACAGACAAAATCGGAGATAGGTTTATAAGGGGTATAACCATACTCAAGTAACCTTCACAGCCATACACATCCTTAAACATTCGATACGTTCGTAGTTTATTACCTCCCGTTCTACCGCTTGACTTGCATAATAAATCATACCAAATCAAAATTTATGACAGCAACCAATATTGCCAGGACAGTTTACCGACATAGTTTCTTTTGGCCGCGAGTTTACATTGAATAACACTAGAACATCAGGTATTAGAATGACAGTTAATGTAACATATGTTATAATATATAATCATGATAATCCACTTCACATTGTTATAAACGTTAAATGAACGTCCCAACTGATTTGGGTTTTTTTTATCCTATTGTGTACCAAAGTACAACTATCAAAATGTCATAGCGGTGCTTATCAAACTACACAGTCATGGTTGCATGTAGATTGTACATGTTAAGATATACAATGTACATTGTTCATAAATCCAAAAACAAATATTTGGATAAATCGACACAATGCCATTTACGACTATCGGAAATCGTACGCAACAACAGAGTGTATGGCAACGTCAAGTTGACGTATACATTTTAAGCTAAATGGCAATAATTGCCAACACAAATGAAGCGTTATCATGGACTATGACAAACTTGGACCCACAATTCGAGTTACGTCCCTTAGTATGTGGCAGGATCCAAGTACTGCTGATCGAATCCTTAATTTGCAACCACTATGCTAAAAGGGTTTGTAATTGTCTCCAAGTGGTAAACGGTCGTCCCAATACATCTGAGATATCGCAGAAAGCGGTGTGAGGCTCGGTTAACTCCCTCGCCGCCATGTCAGTGGACGTCACTAGTTGTGCTGAATATCTTATGTGCTTGATAGGTATAACTGACATCGCATCAGTGACTGTATAAATGGCGCAGACTTTGGGTGAACACGTTACTATCAGACCTCATGGAAGCTACCATATAATATAGTCCCCCCAAAAAGTTACGTATTTAGATTACAGTATTGAATTAAAAAGTTCGAATGAATTAGTGCAACGTTGCCCTCTACCGGCCGAACATTATTTCAGGCGAACTCCATAGTGTTATGTCCCTTGGAGCGCTCTTTACGAATATCTTACACACAAACATGTGAAGGTCCGGGTTAGAATGAACATTCAGTAACCCATGCTTGTCATAAGAGACGACTAACGGGATCGGGTGGTCAGGCTCGCTGGCTTGGTTGACACATGTCATCGGTTCCCAGTTGCGCAGGGCGATGCTCATGATGTTGATCATTGGAGTGTCTGGTCCAGACTCGATTATTTACAGACTGCCGCTATATAGCTGGAATGTTGCTGAGTGTGGCGTAAAACTTAACTCACTCACTCACTCCTACGCACAACTTGTGATTGAAACTAGTTCGGCAAACACCGACAACACCGCGAGCAAGTGTTTTCGAGTGTTCTCTGTGTGGAAGGTGTTCGCCTCGAAGTTTCAATTATCGATTTCAGGCAAGTCGTGAGGGATAATTATTAATAAGTCTTTTGTTGCATCAATAGGAAGCTAAAGGGATTGTTTTCAATATAATACAAACTTTATAATAAAAAGTGTTTGCAGCTGAAAATCCTGATGCTGTTTATTGAACTATTACTGTGTGTACATGTGCGTGACTTGAATATCATCCTGATCATTACTTACTCTCTCCCTGCGGTAGGCGTTGGCTTGAACCCTGTGCATCAATAGAGGACCTCCCAGGAAAGACATTCCCTCCTTGTGCAAGTCCGCAAGAGAGTCATAGAAGTAACATGTGTTTGATCCTTACATTGTTTTCCTATCCGTCAAATGCTTACAGACACGTGGATGATAACAGAAGTGAATTGAAATAAAAAATTGAAAGTCACAACAGAAAGAAAATTAATTTATATTTAAACAAAGGGATTATGAGCTGCAGATGTCATCACGTGTCAGATTTTACGAATATTGACGAAGCCTTGTTGCTGTCGAAAAAACTGAGCTAAGTTTCAAGGCAATGAATGAGTAGTAAGTTTAGTTTTACGCCGTTTTAGCAATATTACAGCAATGTCACGGCGGGGGACACCAGAAATGGGCTTCATACATTGTACCCATGTGGGGAATCGAACCCGGGCCTTCGGCGTGATGAACGAACGCTTTAACCACTAGGCTATCCCACCGCCCCTTCAAGGCATTGAATTACAAAGTGCCGACAATGTAGACCCTGGTTAAAATGACGCCTCTCTCAGATCCCTGATGAACACTGTAGTAGTTGTGATCCATATAGGACAGTAGGAAATCCAATTGTTGGTACGGACGGTTATCACTGCGCCATACATTACATGATTTAGTCAAAAGCACCATGGTCAAAACCTGGGGAAGGCTGTCATACATATCTGACCATTATATCATAGATAGATTGTATTGTGTTAGGACACGCCTACAGAGGTAGGGACGACACTAAACTGGCATGTATACATAGCTGACAATTACAACATAGAAAGGTTGTATTGATTTGTATTGTATTGTATTAGGACACGCCTATAACAGTAAGGACGACACTAAACTGGCATACACATCTGACCATTATACCATAGATAGATTGTATTGTATTAGGACACGCCTTCAACAGTAAGGACGACACTAAACTGGCATGTATACACAGCTGACAATAACAACACGGAAAGGTTATATTGATTTGATTTGTATTGTATTGTACTGTATTAGGACACGCCTTCAACAGTAAGGACGACACTAAACTGGCATACACATCTGACCATTATACCATAGATAGATTGTATTGTATTAGGACACGCCTATAACAGTAAGGACGACACTAAACTGGCATACACATCTGACCATTATACCATAGATAGATTGTATTGTGTTAGGACACGCCTATAACAGTAAGGACGACACTAAACTGGCATACACATCTGACCATTATACCATAGATAGATTGTATTGTATTAGGACACGCCTATAACAGTAAGGACGACACTAAACTGGAATACACATCTGACCATTATTCCATAGATAGATTGTATTGTGTTAGGACACGCCTATAACAGTAAGGACGACACTAAACTGGCATACACATCTGACCATTATATCATAGATAGATTGTATTGTATTAGGACACGCCTATAACAGTAAGGACGACACTAAACTGGCATACACATCTGACCATTATTCCATAGATAGATTGTATTGCATTAGGACACGCCTTCAGCAGTAAGGACGACACTAAACTGGCATGTATACATAGCTGACAATTACAACATAGAAAGGTTGTATTCATTTGCATTGTATTGTATTGTATTAGGACACGCCAATAACAGTAAGGACGACACTAAACTGGCATACACATCTGACCATTATTCCATAGATAGAGTGTATTGCATTAGGACACGCCTTCAGCAGTAAGGACGACACTAAACTGGAATACACATCTGACCATTATACCATAGATAGATTGTATTGTATTAGGACACCACGCCTTCAACAGTAAGGACGACACTAAACTGGCATACATATCTGACCATTATACCATAGATAGATTGTATTGTATTAGGACACCACGCCTTCAACAGTAAGGACGACACTAAACTGGCATACACATCTGACCATTATATCATAGATAGATTGTATTGTATTAGGACACCACGCCTTCAACAGTAAGGACGACACTAAACTGGCATACACATCTGACCATTATATCATAGATAGATTGTATTGTATTAGGACACCACGCCTTCAACAGTAAGGACGACACTAAACTGGCATACATATCTGACCATTATATCATAGATAGATTGTATTGTATTAGGACACGCCTTCAACAGTAAGGACGACACTAAACTGGCATGCACATCTGACCAATAGAAAGATATGATAGACACTTATCTGGCACAAACATCTGACCAATGTCTCATGCTTATAGGACAATTTGCAGACATAGCCACACATGGCAAAATAGGTAATCTGCAAGCACATTTATCAGATATACACCTGTCCTTAGACAAGATCCTAACCTGTGCCTTAATTGCAGCCACTACCTGATATAAACTCATTGATTCAACCGGAATAATGCGGACCGACGAACAAGTTCAGAAGTCTTCTCGTAGTACATGTACAAAATAAAAATGCATAAGACCATTTATAAAACTTAAGTATCTTTATTTATTGTTTGCTTGTGACATTTTCAAATCTTAAATGTACACATTCTGCTGTAGATTTTATAATTTCAGATCTTATCATGTGGAACAGGCAGGTCGTCTATTTTCGTCGATATCATTATCTGCAGTCTGAAGTACAGCACTGTAGGCCGCATTACCACTGACGGTCATCATGTTGAGACTTATTGTTCTTGGGGCTCTCTTGTCCCCCCAAGCAGTTGGTCTCATCGCTCCTCTGACCAGCGTCGGGGGGGAGACAGATGTCGGTAACTTAGTAAGTCACGTCACCCTGCTGGAACAGATGGTTCAGAAACTTCAGACAGAGCAGACATCTACCGCATCGCAGTTGGTGGCCACGCAGTCTCAACTGAAGGTACCTGAGATAGAGATGTAGAAGACTGAGTAGTCTGGAGATAAGAGTTTGTTCATCTCACCATTGGCCAGGTCTATTTCCACAAATGTGTGGAAGTAATGCTCATGTTTGCATACTGAAGGTGATGGAGAATGTCTACTGTAAACCCTGCCACTTAATTTTTTTATATTGATTCCAATTTTCCAAAAACGTATGTTGATATATAATGTATATATATCGAACCCGGGCCTTCAGCCTGACGAGCAAACGCTTTAACCACTAGGCTTGGCCTCAATGACAAAGATACAAATTTATGACAACCATTATTGGCATGAGTATGTAATCGTTGTCAGGCACCACTGGTGTTTCTAAATGTGAGTGAGTGAGTTTAGTTTTACGCCGATTTTAGCAATATCCCAGCAATATATCACGGTGGGAGACAACAGAAATGGGCTTCACACATTGTACCCATGTGGGGAATCGAACCTGGGGCTTCGGCGTGACGAGAGGGCGCTTTAACCATTAGGCTACCCCCACCTTCCCGGTATTTCTAAAATATTCATGATAAATAATTAAAACACTAGCCTTATTGATTATTCTGCTTATATTTCCTCTATAAAGTAAGATGATGACTTCTTCTTTTTAAAATGGCAACCATTATTCCAAGTATTCAAACCTGACCAATGTATGCAGCAACCGCTTTTCACCTGATTGCCTTTTTCAAAAGTTATCTCTGTTTAGTTAAATGCATTAATTATTTGTTTATGTATTTGTATATACACTGATGTAACTTTGGAAACATATTATTAAAAAAGTAAGATGGTGACTTTAATGGTAGTACATGTGTGTACCCCACAGACAACGACCGATGAACTGACTGCCGTCAAAACAGAACTCCATGCAGCGCAGACAGAGCTGGGTGTAGCGAAGTATCAGCTCTCAAAACTGCCCACGTCCATCGAGCTGAATGACCTTGTGGCCAAACTCAATAACACTGCCAGTGCAATAAATGCCACAAATCAGGACCTTGCTTCTATCAAACAAACTGTTGCCGGCATGGCGCAGAACAATGCAGGTGATATTTTATATAAAACCAGTGGAGCCATAGGTATCAATCATTACATTCAATATTATCTTACCTTCATGTAAAATACTTTAATTTCCTTGGTCAATGAAGGTTTAACAAATTTCCGTTTCCCTCCCAGGAGGGTGACAACTGGAAAAAATATTACCCGCTGCCACGGTAACCGCCAAGCTCTCCGCCGAGAAGCTGAAGCGCTAACAATCGTATGAGGTCATAATATGAAGCATGCCGTGCCCGGAGTTTGAAAACCGTTCGATCAGCTGTTTTTGCGTTCTCTTTGTACAGATTTATTTTACCGACTTTCACTGCTTTATTTAAGCTATTTTATACATTGAGTGGTTTGCACATTCAGCTTAAACATAATTAACAATTTTTATAGCAGTTTTATGCTTGTCAGAATATGTTTCACTGATGTTAAAAATCCAGTCGAGAGGCAGACGCCATTTTGTTTGTATGTCATATAGTCGGTAGCGATCTTTAACATAAAATAAAATGATATTTTGTACATTTAACATGGCGGTACGATAAATACGTTGTAGGCTTCTTCCTCGGGTAATACGGTCTGATGTACGCCTCTTTGTAGCAGTGTCACCCGAGCCGGTATGATTTATTATTGACTCAGCAAGTTCCACACAACTCATTAAGACATAAGACCCCATAAGGAGTACTAACGGTGGAAATATATCGCGGCAAGGTTTCATCTTCGTACTGACAGGTGTATCTCAATAGATGACCATTTACGTTTTAACCATTACGATCGATTCTATGAAACATTCATTTCTCATGCTGGCCTATTCCATAATATCAGGAGAAGTAATTGTTGCGGATTGAATCCGGTATTCATCTCGTTTTGCCCTATCTTTTAGTCTGTCACTGCAAACGTTTCAAGCTTCACTTCGTTTTATAAACGTTTACAAAACACAACTGAAATACATATACCTGGCGCCAACAACATCACACACAAGTATTTAAATTCAAGTCATTTCTATCTGTTTCCAGTTGTTGCCTTCGAAGTTCGACTGTCTACCCACATTAGACCTGCATTGACCTCAATCATCAAGTTCGACGACGTTCGCTACAACCAGGGAGGTGGCTTCAACGTGACGACAGGCGTCTTCACCGCCCCCGTCGCTGGGACGTACATACTTTGGGCCAGCATGATAGCTTACGACTTCTCCGATTCTCTTGGTATATCTCTGTTCAAGGGTTCGGAAAAGATCGCCCGAGCATGGGGCGAGAACCCTGCGTCTGACAAGAATGAGGATGACACCCTGATCCTGACAACGGTATACCTGGATGTTGGGGACCAAACATGGTACGTCAGAGAGTCGGGGACGGCACGGATTGAGGGATTCTCCTACTCCGGCTACGGCGGGGCGCTTATCCAGGCCCACAGATAGAATCGCTTTGTCAATTTTAGAGATGAAATTTCACTAGAAATTCTACAAGCTTGTGTCGTATCTCTATTCGGTTTAATAAATATCATCGAAACTTAACTGGGCATCATACATTAAAATATTTATTAAGTATGACATTTATATCTGCTTGTGAACTCATAATTGAGAGAGTAAGTGAGTTTATTTAAAGCCGACTATTGCAATATTCCCGCGGCGAGAGGAATATTTATACAGCATTTTGTGTTCAACTCCGAGCGTCTCCCTGTTGTATTATTTACAGTGTGACTGTCATACTTTTGTTCCAGTGAAAACCCTTATCAATTCTAAAATTGGAATGTTGTTTAGGTAAAACAAATATGATTGTCTTTTTAAATTGTTATTTAGTTTGTTTGTGATTTATGTATGTTGATTGAAATCATTCCTTAAATCAATCGCATGTTTTCATCGCGCAGCAATGTAGTCATTAAATAGAAAAAGGTTCAAAATATATCCCTCATGCACGTAAACGTCTGGTGGAATTCATCGACACGTTCAGTGCCTTTTCTAGTTTCACGCCACACATAAAACCTTTACACTGTATACTATAAGGACTTGGGGAATTAAAGAGTGAATAAATGAGTTTATGTTTATGCCGCTTTCAGCAATATTTCAGCAATATCACGGAGGGAGACATCGGAAATGGGCTTCATACATTGTACCCATGTGGGGAATCGAACCCGGGTCCTCGGCGTGACGAGCGGACGCATTAAACAACAGGCTACCCCACCACCCCTGGGAATTTAGAAACATATGACAACTCCATAAAGTGTTTTGATAAAGTCTGGTTTCACACATACTTAGCATACAAAGGAGACTATAACGGTGTTTCGGAAAGTGGAAAGTCATACGTTACTAATTATTTCATTATGTTACTGATCTGGGTGCTGGTTGCTGCAGAATAACAGTTATGCTGCTGAACCACTGAAATTATACAATTCCTGTCATACAGAGGAAAGGCGGTGGGATAGCCTTGTGGTTAAAGTGTTGGCTCGTCGTCACATCGAGGACCGGGTTCTATTCCCCACATGGGTACAATGTATGAAGCCCTTTTCTGGTGTCCCGGCCTTGATATTGCTGGAATATTGCTTGAGGCAACGTTAAACCATATTCATTTCATCATTTCATGGAGCTTGAATAGTACCGATTCAAACTACAAACAGACCAACAAATACACAAATATGTTCATTTGTTGTAACACAATTTGACGAGATATTTGCTAATTGCATAACCTCTAACAAAGTAAGAGAATGCGTAGAGAGTATTCTGGAACAGGATAGTTACAATGTAACGCGACAGATATCAGTGCAAAAGATTTCAAATTTTACTATTTGCTAATTACAGTTTACGTATCTGGATATTTCATGGAAATATGACATAAGATACCTGTCAGGAAATAGGAATTTGGAAATTATGTGAACATCTTGTTTTAATTCCCCTAATATGAACACACAAAATCTGTACAAAAAAACCCAGAAAAACATACCCTTGATACCTGGAATGATACATCAGTTTCTAAGACATGAAAACATATGAAAATTGACAAATATTTCTCCACCTACGGAAATATTCATGTTTACAAGCTTAGTAAACTTAGAAAATTCTGAAATTACAGAACCTATTACAATTAAAATGAATGTATGAAGCATTTCCTAAGGTATTTAAGTTTTAATTCATGCATGGAAATGTCTGCAAATGCGGCTATAGCATACATGAAAAAGGTACTTGTGCATACGGCAATATACGATGAGCATATGTTTCAAAGGTGAAGTTTCATATGAAATAACCGCTCACAGTTAGGGAATACCGGGAAACGGTCCAACATTTATTCATACTTACGCCCAGGCCTCGGCAATGGATTGATTCTAATAATCTCAAATTGCTTTTACATGCCCCATCATATATCAGGGAGCCGTAGTCAAGTGCGGAGCGGATGAGTGCTCTATATAGTTGGAGGAGGGTTTGGGGATCCCCTCCCTACTTTGAGTTTCAAAACAACTTTTGATATATCCCGTGCCTTCAGGCTTTTATTTTATGAATGTTGTATACGAGGCCAAAATGTCAACTGTTATCGAAAATAATACCCAGGAATTTGGCTTCATTTACAACTTTGATAGGTTTGCCATTTAGATTCTGACAGACATTTTATTCCAGTACCGAGGCCATTGGTCCAAAATACAGTCTTAAATTAACTTTCACAATCCGCGCATAACTACACAGTAGAGTTCATGAATTATTCCCTGCAAGAGTTGGCATGCATATGGATTTACATATCACACACCCATTTCACGTGTAAGGGCAATTTTAAAGGTCACATAAACCCTAGGGGGGTAAAAATACATAAATCACTAACTGGCATCGTTATAAATGAAACCCCGTCATTAAAACTACTCATTTCGACCTTTAATTAACTTAAATCGACCTTTTTGACAACAGTGCACAATTCTCACCCGCGAACGAAATTTCAACCAATCAGAGCGGCGCGACTCTGTGACGTCATATGAGGAATAGCTTTGAGGGCCGATGCAGAATTCATCTACATTTTAGGGGGTAAATTATCTTGTTTACAGGCTTGTATAAACCTGAAATCGTGACAATTGTTGTGGAAAATGAAAGCTATATGTTCTCACAATCTACTGGCATTTAATTTTGTCTCCTGCTTTGCCTAGTTTCTGAGTTACAACTTGTTTTCATAGACGCTTCTGTCACAATTGATTGGTGTCGTTAGGCCCTATCTGTATAATGACTGATCCAAATTGATCCCATTTCTGTGTTTTTTTTACCTCGATATTTAATCATGTCATGTAAAAATCTGTTTGTATTCTCAAAACAGTGTCGGCCCATAAGTTTTCACATGCAATACAGCAATTAATACTCCCTTGTTGTAACCCGTGTTAGGTGGTATAAACCTACACATGTTATTTGTCATCATTCACTTGATGGTCAGTTAATGAATTTATAACAGGTATAATTAGTGGTAACACACTTAGATTACCCGACAAAGGTTCCCATTTGGCATTTCTTGTGTCTGGAGTAAATATTCAACATTATAAACATCGATCAAAGGATTAACCGATAACACGCTGATTGATTAATTACTTTTATCTTACACAGCGGATTTGTCAAAAGGTAGTGTTTATGTAAGTAGATTTACTAATCTATACTGAATACACTCTGCCGTGTCGGTGTCTGCGTAAAAACAACGTCCTTCTTTCAAAGGATTAACCGGCAATACATTGATTGATTGCCCATTATTGGCTAACTAAATTACTGTTTTTAATGAAAGGCGGACATTATGCAATTAGTTGCCAGGTGTGCTATCTTGGGTGACCAATGAGACTATACACCAATACCTGAAAAGATTTATCACTTTTTCGTATATTAAACTGTTAAAGGACACATCATTTGGAACAGTTTTGTGGATATTGATGGATACATTCCTCAAACAAGGTAATGGCCTGATATTGTTCCTATAACTTTAATCTGTTTTAATTTTAATATTTGCATTTTGTTTTTTATTCATTTGTCGTAGCATTCAACAGAATCATTGTTTTCACCGTGAAGTGTAATGAGACAGACAACATACGCTAGGGTGTGTGTGCGAATTATGATTCACATTGGCAAACTATAAAATGTCTAGATATTACAGTTCTGTTATAAATTCACTATAAGTATCAGCAGATCGTCAGCTTGTTATTTAGTTTCAAAATGCATAAAAGTATGATAATAAACTAATTAGGATTATAAGACCAAATATAAAGACGCACATTGACTAGTATCTACATACTGGTGAGTGGACATTAACCATGTGAATGTAGCAAGAAATGTATCGCGCAGTATTGTGACTTCGACCCCCACCTCGCTTCCGTGGAAGAAATCGTTATGTTATAAGTTGTGTCATGCAAAATCCTTTTGGTTATGATTCCAATACATATTTAATTACGAGTAGAAAGAAGTTTTGATTTGCTAACTTGATGAAAACAAACTATAATCTCATTAATTCTAACAGACTTTACGATTTTCAAAAAATGGCGGCGCCCTGTCGGGAACATCCGCCAGTCTATGGATAAATGCTATTTAGGTTTGTTTTCACCGAGTTACAAAATCAAAACTACTTTCTACTGGTAGTAAAATATGTATTTTATTGATGGCCAATAGGATTTTGCATGACATAGTGTATAACATAACAATTTCTCTCCTGGCAGCGAGGTGGGTGTCAATATAATACTACTTACAATATTATTGTTACTTCGACCACAACCTCACTTCCGAGGAAGAAATCGTTATGTTACAAGTTGTGTTATGGAAAATCTTTATGGTCATCACTCATATACATATTTTACTATAACTAGTAAGTAGTTTTGATTCTTTAACTTCCGTGAAGCGATCTGAACACAAGTAAGATATCGTTTCAGGCTTCCACAACGCTCGCTTCGCACTCACAAACATAACCCATTTAGCACGAACTGCGGGGTCCTGTGGAAATCTGTGCATGGTGACACCATCACCCGACCCCTAGGGGCAATTGACGACAAAGCAACGATTCGGCATGTCGTCGTTCATGTCGAGAAATCAACAAAATGATGAGCGTGCTACACACTTTCTATACAACTACTAGTAACTGAAAATCGTTCCTCATATGACGTCACTGCAGTGCTCTGACGACAGAGTTACGTAACCTGTCTGTGGTTTCGTTCGCGGGCGAGAGGGAAGCAGGCGACTTTTTGGCCACTTTTAATCGCTCGGTATTAATTAACCACAAGTTTTTAAAGAATAAATTTGGTGTTCCGCATAAGACTAACCACAAATCTTTCATATGTAATGGTTAAAAGAGTAACAAAAAACAAAGTTTAGTGGTTCTTTAAGTTTATACACCTTAAGTGAGGTGAGGTGAAATTGGGTTTAACGTCGTGCTTGAGAAGATTTCACTCATATGACGACGTGCATGCGTGTGTATGTGTATGTGCAGCTGCTTGTACTAGCCCACACTGAAGCTGGTTTTATAGTGCTAGCCAACTGAGATACCATTCCGCAGTGAAGCATGAATACCCCTCTTAGACACA